CCACATCGTGACGTAGCCATGTGGGGGCGTGTTTAAACGAGGCGTTTTAGGTAGGCGTGGTTGACTTAACTTTTATAAAGAATATCTCTTTGGATTTGAGACTTTAGTCTTTGCAACTTTACAGATCTTCTTTATGCACCAAGAGCTTGTAACACTCCAAAGAGAAAGGAAAACTTGAAATCGCATCATATGACCCCTTAAAAATATAACATATTACACATTAATGAATAAATCAGTATATATAAAATTATTTAATTTAAGTGTCATGTTTGTGATTTTTTGTTTGTTCATGTAAGCTATAGCTTCTGACCTTTTAAATCAAAACATACTCATGATTTTATGGCATCAATTATTGCTTTATTTAATCAGAAACACAGTCTAAATATTATTTGTGTATTTTGCTTTCATTTTATTAGAAGTAGGCCAACAGCACCCCCTACGGAATTAAAACTCCTTACCGATCGGGCGTTAGGACCCGGGGGAGGCTGCTGCTGCACATGCTATTACTGTTTACTCATACACCGATCATGTCATTCTGTAAGTGCTTTCTCAGTTTAAATGCAGCGATCCAAAACCGTGAATCTAATCATCATTCAGGCAAAACTTTGCTTTAAGAATGAGCCAATGATCTATTCGCTAGCACACCCTGAGCACATGTGAGTTAATGTATTCCTCTTATCGGCAAGACATATCGGCATAATTTTTCATATCGGGCCGATGCCGATATTTACATTTAAAGCCATTATCGGCCGATTCCAATATTGGTCCTATAATATCGTGCATCCCTAATATACAGTCATGTTCTGATATGATTGTCAAAGACTCGGGGCTCAAGTGGTTTCACAAAAACGTTTGGCATCATAAATAGCTGATAAATAAATCATGGGAAAACCTTGGATAAGCAAAGGAAAACTTTTAAGGAAGACAATTCTTTTTTTATATCGAGATCTACACTCCTCACGGTCTGCTGGAGTTTGGCGATGCCCCTTTTAGCGTCTCTTCTGCCCTCTTGTGTCTCTGCAGGGTGACCTGGAGCTGCCAGTACCTGAGATACAGCCACATCAAATTCCCATTCTTGCGCTTATCCATGTTCAGTAAATCTGCACAGTGTCTGTCGTTCTTAAAAATGTCCCTGAGATCTTCCTCTAGGTTCAGCTCGGCACCCACCGGGTCTTTAGCCACCTTTAGCAGCAGGTTCTTCTCCATCTCCAGACGATGTTCTTGTCGTTCCTGCTGAAGCTGCTTCCGTTCCTCCATGAGCTGCTGACTCTGAGAGATCAGGGCTTTCTTGTAGCCCTGCACGCGCTGGCGTTCCTTCTCAAGCTCCACCTCCAGGTGCGCTGCTGTCCTCCGGTTTTCCGTCAGCGTCTCCCTGTACTTCAGCTCCAGGTCTCTGGTAATGGATGCCATGTCACTGTTGTACTTGTTCTTCACATCTTGGATCTGGCTCTGTGATTCTCGAGTCCATATCCAACCTTTCCAAAATACACCCACTGACAATTTAAGTCTTAAATCTCTTTGGCAAGACCGACCAAATCAATTTAAGGAGAACATGACTTTCGACAAATACTATTAAAACAAAATAAAACCACATAAAATGTTTTAAATCCATCACAAATTAAGTACTGAAATCATTCATTCATTCATTCATCAGTGTTGTTTATTACCTAAACCTTTTTTATTTCAAATAGTTTTTGTTACCTAAAACTTCTTTTTTAATTAAAATTAAGCTGAAATAAAAATAAATATCAGATGATGCCTTGGCAACTAACTGAAATACAATAAGCTGAAGTGCTAAAACTAATAAAGTAAAGCTAAACAGAAATATAAAAAATGAATATAGCAGATAAAATTACTCAAATAAAAAATAATATAAAAGCTAATTCATGATATTAATACAAATATTAGTATATAAATAATATTACAATATTTAAATTATATACTATACACTACTAAAATAACTATATATCTCAACACAACCTACATAAAATACACATAAATCCACACAAAAGAAAAACAAAAAATGTGACTAATAATTTGTAGTAGATTTAGAGCATTTTTAGATGAAAATTGGGATGTTTATTGTTGACTCATTAACATGAGTCATTATGTTTGGTATGTTTTCAAAGAAGAGCAAGTCATTTAAAATCTGATAAAATATCATTTTGTCAACATTTAACATCTACTTAACACATAACTAGGCCTGTCGCAATAATCAATATATAGACTTATCGCACAATATATGTACATGACCGCAATAATTTTTGGTGACGCAATATATCGCCCATTATATTTACTTAAAAATTAATGTCACCACGTTTTGTACATTCCACTTGCTCCTGTGTCTTTTGCAGCTTCTCGAACATAATGTGGTGTAGTCATGAGGTGCTAGTTCAAATTAAAAAAAAAATGCTTCTACAAAAAAAGTTTCATCTGCAGATATGGTCTTGTTTAGGGATCTGTGCCTTTGTGCATACAGACATCTGACTGCCAAGTAGTGATTGTGTTTTAGTGTGCATCCTTCATTTACAGAGAAAAGAAGGTCAGGGAAAATCTGTAGATGGAAA